GGACCCTCGGTTTTGTGGTCTGGCATGCCCCCTACTTGCATTGCGGAAAGCGGTGGACTTCTTCCTTGTCGGGTTGACTGACATTCACAACTAGGGGTCCATGCTCTTCACTCATATACAAATGAGAGGTAATTACAAAGATGTAATTATGAAGTAAAACGTAGTTTTTGCAAAAAAATACCAGCCTGTCGTTCCAAGACAGAATCCTTGCATTTCAAGGGCATTGTTCTTCCCATAGAGGTGTGCTGCAGGATGCGCACGCTCTATTATGCTCGCGCACGTTCGTAAGAACAATCCTCCACACCCCAGGGTTGCATTCATGACAATGTAATGCACTCCTTCGTGTCTTGCCTCCCAGCCCCCAGGCGTCATACTGCAATGCTGGGAAAATCTGACAGACTCATTGCGACGGGTTTGTTTGCTCATTATGCTTCACTATTTCTTTGCTGTTCACTCCTTGTCTTTACCCATGTCTGCTGGCTTAAGATCCTGTCCGGCGGGCCTTGCAGCTCCATGGGCCCATTTTTGTTCTCAGGCCTGTCCGACGTGTCTAAGACTAGCCTCACAGCCCGGCCCAACCAACAACCTGCCCAATCAAGGCCCGCCGCCACTCCGGCTGCCTACAGCCCAACCAGCAACCCAAGCAAGGGCCAGCCCAGCCCGCCCTGTCTGCTGGCTCCATGACTCTCTCCTGGTCCTGCGCATCGCCTTGCCCAGGGATGACATCAATTTGTCCAACGACGCCAGAACCTGTCCATGCCTGAATCGCCACTTGACCAGCTCTGCTGCTTGCAGTCGAACCACAGACGCTGCGCGCTCGGCTGGGCCGAGGCGGGCAACGCGCAGCGGTTACAATAACTTCACGGATTCCAGAGCTTGCCTGCTGACGGCACTTTTAAAGATAAGTGCGCTAAATGTTGTTTTTGGCAAACACTGCTCTTGAAACGGGGCGTGGTTCTTCCCAAAACAAGGTAGGTTTAACATGTCAATGTAATTCTCACCAGATTCAGGGCGTGCACTCTGGTGAGATCTGGACGATTGGACGCCACCAAGTTACAAGGAATCGTTGTCTACTACCAAACATCCACGCACTATGCACCGAAAACGCAAGCCATCTTGTTCCCTGAAACTTAAACACGCAAGCACACAAGCAAGCAAGAAAGCAAGCAAGCAAGCCAGCCAGCCAGCCAACCAAGCAAGCCAGCAAGCCAGCAAGCAAGCCAGCAAGCAAGCCAGCAAGCCAGCAAGCAAGCCAGCAAGCAAGCAAGCCAGCAAGCCAAGCCAGCCAAGCCAGCCAAGCCAGCAAGCAAGCAAGCCAGCAAGCAAGCAAGCCAGCAAGCCAGCCAAGCAAGCAAGCAAGCAAGCCAGCCAAGCAAGCCAGCCAAGCCAGCCAAGCCAAGCCAAGCCAAGCCAACCCAAGCCAAGCCAAGCCAAGCCAAGCAAGCGGGCAAGCAGGCAAGCAACAACGCAAGCAAGCAAGAAACAAACAAGCAAGCAAAGCAAAAATCGAAAACAAAAAAAGAGAAGCAAAACACAATCAAGCAAAGCAACATAACATACAAACGACCAACGAAAACAAGCCGACAAACAATACACACAAACAAACGGGCTACGACGGTGGGGGTCTGGACCTGGATGAAAGTTGCTGCTGTGTGAGCTTGAGGGGATGATTTTGTGTATTTGTTTTTCTTCATCTAGGTGTCCTTGCCTGTGTGTGGTCGTGCATCTGTTTGTTTGCTTGCTTGTGCGCTTGGGTTTGCTTGCTTGCTTGCTTGCTTGATTGATTGCTTGATTGCTTGATTGATTGATTGATTGCTTGATTGCTTGATTGCTTGATTGCTTGTTTCTTTGTTCGTTTGTTTGCTTGCTCCTTTGTTTGCTGTGTATGTATAGTATGTATACTTGCATATGGCATATGGAATGTGTGCCGTCTCAGAAAGCATTGAAGATTTGGGTTCCCAAACAAAGCACGCATGCATGGATATCTGGGCTTGGGATGGATCACCCAAAGCCAGGATAGTCTCATCCGCTTGGCGCGGCACAAAGATCATTTGCTGTCTTACTGTCTACTTGGGAAGATGGTGGATTTGTGGATCAGGGTTTGAGCAGGTAATACCCGTCAGATCCGCAGGGCATATGCCTGTGGATGCCAGCCCCAAACGCCTGTGACGTGGTCGACGCTGCTAGCGGCTAGCGTAAAAACTTGGCGGAATCAACTTCTGGTGTGAGTATTGTGCGATGGTTGTCTGCTGTAACATGCTTTCCATGTGCGAATTACCCGCCTGTGCCGCATGTCTTGGAGCAGAATGACCATGGACTCCAGTCATACCTTGTGAACACAGCAAAGGAAAGTGCATGAGTGTCACTTTGACTGCTCCCCCGCGTTTGCAACATCACAATTCTTTCACCTCAGATTGAACGAGCCCTGCTGTATGCAAGCCTGTCAAATGCCAAGACACCACTGGCAGTCCACTGGCACCGCTGAGGCATTTCCTGGCTTCTCCTTCCAGGTGCCAATGGGCAATTCAAGACAGCAGCTTCGACATGTTGCCAGAGGATGCCAGAGCTTCAGCAAGGCAAAGCCAAAACCCTCACGTTCGGGGTCGTCGAACCTTCTCGCCACACAGCATGTCCTTCATGTCACCAAGCTGTGAAGCGAGAGCCTTGTAGAGCTCATCTTCCGGGTCCTGGCATCTGCCTCTCACCGCGGCACCAATGCTGCAAACGAATAGGGCGAACAATCGCCGTCTCAATCTGGTTGCGCAACAATGAAGGTCAAGCAAATCTCTAGAACCTGGCTCTCTTGTTGCTACATTGTCGCCAACCTTCTTATAGCATTCCCAGTTTCAGGCCAACTTCTCCTCGTAGTGTCTCGAAACATGCGCCAAGGACTCGTGGGACTCAGCCCTCATCATTCGGCGACCTCTGGGCAAAGCTTCAGTCGGAGCGGCATGCGAATGACTGCACTTGCCTGGCGTCACCGCACCGGAGGAGTCCACCTGCAGGCAATTTGGCTCTCTTGCGACCGAATGCACAAGCATCCAGCCGCACATGGCAACCAGCTTCACGCAACTTCTGCGCATGCTCTCTGGAGCAACAAACTGAAACATTCGAAATCAAGAGAGGTGTGTGACGCCTATGCGAAGCGCAAGCGGCCTCTGACTCATGGTGTCCGGCTCCGTGCCGTTTGGACGGAAGGGTTTCCTTGGCTGGAGGGTTATAGTCTTGCCACTCAAATGTTCATGCCGAAATGTCGGGCTCTCAAAGTGTGGACATCGGACATTCACAGCCAAGCCACCGCTGTGGCGCCCAAGAACAGCAGCAGGATCGGACATCTCAATGCCTGCAATGCTTCGCGAGATTTTGCACATGGCGCCTTCTATCTGAGCAGCCGCAGCAGCCTACCTTTCTTGACACATCCCGAGACTTTCCTGATCTGACAACCCACCCTTCAGATTCGCAGCGGCAAGTTCGCCTGGGGCATACTCGCCGTCGCTCGGCCTCTCAAGAACGCCCAAGTTGTCGAGTCACACAAAGTCGTTCCAACGGCAACTCTTTGTATACACCCGCGATTCTCCTTGGACACTAGTTGATGATAAGCAAAAAGAAGATCAGGAGACAGGCAAACCATACCAAAGGGGCCCGTGTGCGCAAAAACAAACACACACACACACACACACACACGCATGCCTGCATGGAGCATGTAGGGATCTGGGTATCTCCTGAGATGGCAGAATGCCAGTCGAGACATGCCCCAGGCACTTTGGGCCCTTCAACAATTTCTTGTCGATTGCTTAGTCGGCGCTCAAGGATTGTCTTGGTTGGCCGCTCTTGCTGCCAAGGTGTCAAATGACAAAGTGCACCGCAGGAATGCGAGGCATCCCACGGGATTGAGCCGGCTGACGGCTGTATCGTACAAATGTCTGTTGTAAACAAGCCATCTATGACACCCAACGTACTTCGGCATTCATGCGTGGGTGAACCTGCAGTGACCCTTGAGTCAGGTTGAGGATTGGCTCTGCATCTTTCGAAACGGGTGCTATGTTCTGAAACAAGTGAGACTTGGCGCCGTACCATACGCAGAGCACAGCACCAGCTCAAGAGCCGCAAACACAATTAGTCAGAATCAACTCTTCCCTACTTCTGCCACTGCATTGGAGACACGGTGGAGCTGCCCGTGCTGGTCAGGCTCAAGGTGCCGCTTGCCCGGTGCAACTGAAGCCACTGGCTAAACGCATTTCATCAAGCGATCGGGCAGCGCCTGTTGAGAGAATCCGCCCCACCTACCAGAATCAAGTGTAAGCTTCCCAATCCTGAAAGCAGGGAAGCGTTCCAAGCAGTGGATCGCGCATCTCAGAGTCGCTCAGTACGAATGTGGATGGGCTGCGCTTCCGGCATGCTGGAAAGGGCGTCGCAAACCACCTGCCATGTTCAGGCCCTGAAGAAACAACCAAACAATACCATCAACTCAACACACACACACACACCCAGGAAAATAATTGGTACATTATAAAACCCAAAGAGGGGGGGACACCAGTCTCATTTTTCCTCGCCCGAGATTCTGCGAAAGTCTGCCCCACCGACAAAGTGCATGATGGAATCTAGGATCAATGCAAACAGGGGCACTGGCAATGTGGGACTGGGACTCTTTTCAATATGGTTCTCAGAACACAGAATTGTTTTCGCCGGACAACCAACCCCCATGCAACATGGCGTCATGACACACTGTTCTGACAAGTAATTAAGTGTTTAATTAGTCTTCTCTTAAAAGGGACGATGGCTCACCACAAATGGAGATCTGCAGGGAGGATGTTTAAGTGACGCATAATCAAAACCGATCGGTATTGCAATGGTCCAAGCCCAGCACCGTGTAAATTAAAGAGGCGGATATCTGCACCCATGTATTGGCAAGGGGATTATCCCTTGCCAACCTTCATCTACCCGAATCGGCTCTGAGCAGCCTGTGAGCGGCTCAAGTGTCTTCGGCTCAAAATCCGGGCCTTCAGGGCAGCCTGTGCCCGCTGAGCAGTGGTGTGAGGTGCCTGGGAGATGAGCATGCCATAGCCTCGCCACTTGTCTTCCTGCCGCATCGGGTCACCCAGTCTGAACCAGTCAGTTGCTCCGTTGGATGTCTCAGAAACACAAGCCAAACGTGTGTGCCAGAACAAAAAAAATGCAGGAAACTTTAGTCTTGGCTTCACCTCACACAAATCAAAGTCCCACTCTACGTTGGTCAGGCCGTCTTGCCTCTTCCTCAAAGCGACTGCAAGGTCTTTCTTGGGCATCCGGAATCTGTTGGTTTCGCTGCATGTCACAGATCTGCCCGCGCGCCGTCCTCGGAGCCCGAGTGCCAATCCTTGTTCTCCACCTTGCACGGCGAGCACGAGTCTCACTTGCCCCTTGCGGAAGGTTGACCTTGTGGGACCTCCACTGCAAATGGACCAAACACGGAAAGCCAAAAGGTCAAAAGGTCTATCTCAACCCACGACGGCAACCACGCGAAGGGCGTTGAACAAGAGCGAATGGGACATGCACGTGAAGAAACGGCTGTCGGAGACGCACCCGACCGGGTTGGCGGCCTGTTAAAAGATGCAAGCAGGCACTGTTAAAAGAACCGTCGGTACTGTCAACGTCTTAGCCAGACGACGTAGGCTTCGATGGTGATGAGGTCCAGGGTCTTGTCGGCCTTGCGCAACGCCATGTTGAAGTCCTCAGATCTCACGCTGACAAACCCTCTCGCAAGGGCCTGCTCCCATGAGCTAAAACACACACACAGTGTGTGTGCGTGTGTGTGCGTGTGTGTTCATGTGCACAAACGTGCAATAAACATCCACAGAAAAACACTGTGTTTGCTGCGGATGAATTGTGTTGCTATGTCAAACTACTGCAAAGTCTTCCAACAGGACGTTGTTTTGCCAAGGCGCTCTTGCTTTCTTTTCATACTTGGGACCTGCACAGGTGGCCCACTTTCCCAGGTCCTCTGCCGTTCAAAGGGCCTGATAGAAATCCATCTTGAGTACTCCCAGCCTATGGGGTAGGTCACCACCACGGTGGCCGAGCGCCAGTGCTTCCACAGGTCCAGCACCAACTTCTCGCAGCGCTCTGCTTCCCCACCACGCGTATAATCCGGGTCAATGAAGACCTACAGGCGCCCGCAAGGCCAACGACTCACCGCGATCCCTTGACCAACAGGGCCTACAAATCAAGCCCCATCAAATCCAAGCTCTCCACATCTGCAAACTCGAATTGAGCAAGGATTGATTTTGTGGAACATACCGCCTTAACACAGATGCGCGTCGGACAAAACCTGTATGGCTGGCATGGGCGTCGCTCTTCAAGTCCCCCCCTGTCGCTGCACACAGTGGCAGCTCCATTTTTCAGTTCTCTGCAACTTTGTAGCGCAAGTGTAGTCCACGAAGTGCACTTCCGCAGCCCCCAGTGCTTCAAGGGCAATGCACAAAGTGCACTCGCTGCAGCTCCAGCTTCAAATCGCAATTTGCACACTTCCGATTCACAAAATGCTGCTTTCTTCCGTTCCAAACTTTGAACCCTTGTTTTACAGAAGTGTCCGTGCAAGTAAATGGGTACTTACATACGTGCAAATCATCATCCAGAACCCGGCTCGCTTTAAACAAGTGATGAAGACCTAAGAGGGGGTGACAAACCTATGGCGGCCACGGGACCTTTTCCACGCTAACTGGGGATGCGGTAGATGGTCAATGCGAGACACACCCCAAAATGCTATGCGGCGGGCATGTTTCTCAGCTCCACCCATTCTCTGTTGACCACACTACCGCGTTCAGCACATTCTGGTAGAAGGTCAGGTTATCTTCCTCAGCAGCTTATCGCCGGCCTTCTTCGTTCGAAGACGGCTCTCGCTGCAGACCTGCCTCTTCATCAGCTCCCTTTCCTCATCGTCTATTCGAAGGGTGCCGGCGTGATGTCTGCCTTGCTAAAGAGTGTCCACCGGCATCCTTTGATGTGGAGCCCACCTGACCGTGGTGTCAACCCAGCGACGTCCGTCTATCCTGCCGTGAGGCAGGGATCTACATCCGACTTCACTTGTCTCAGCCTGTAACAACTTGGAGGCTTTGAACTCCCCTCTCATGAGCGGCTGCGCTTTCTCCCCTCTTCTCCCCTTTGAGATCTCCACCGCGTGCACCTTTCCAACTATGTACTTCTCCTGTGGATCTATCCATTGATCTTCTTAATGCGCCGCCCGACGAAGTCCGCCTCGTCTGACTCCCGCTTGCCAAAACAGAACTTCTTGGCCAGCCGCTTCTCTACCTCTCTGCACCTTCTCGTCGCTGAAGCCCATGCAGAAGTCGTCCACCTCGATCAGTATGATGCCCTTGATTTTCCTCGCCGTCTTGTCCTCGTCGCAGTTGCTCTCCTCCGTCTCTTGTCGGATGTAGACACAAGGATCCAACAATGATCGCCGGTGTCCAATCTTGCGGAGAAAGGCCGTAACCGCCTTGAACCATCTCAAAGGCGCGTCGTCTAGTCCGTAGACCGGGGCAACCAGCTCTATCAGGTCCTGTTCCTCCACCGGAATGCCCTTGCAAGCGCCACGAACAGCCGTCCTCTGGGCCGACGTAGCTGCTCTGATTGCGCGAAAGCTGCCTTGACGTCTCCAAACCGCACGATCATGTTCTCGATAGCGATCACCTGGCAAACCAAACTCAGAGCCTCCGTAGGTTGGGGCAAGCGTTCGAAAGGCACCTCCGTCCGGATCCTTGCGGCTGTGCACGCAGAAACGAGATTTCGGAATTGGAGAACTTGGAACGGGAGTTCAAGGCGGTGAAGGTCTGGAAGGGGGAGGACGCAAAGAAGCTGCGAGAGCAGTTTTCTCACCGTGCTCTCGCGGCAAAGGAAGACTTCCGGAACTCCGCCTTCTCCTCCGGTGTCATCTGCTTCCCGGTGATCTTGCCGTTCTGTAGTTGCTTCTCGTCCTGCCACCCCCGCTGTTCAAAGAAGACCTCCAAGAATTCTTTGAGGTTCTCCTCCTCTGCCTCCTTCCCTTGCCCTCTGCGAAATCGCTGCTGCACCCTCATGCTGCGCCGCACATCTTCTCCAAGCTTCCGGCAATGGCGCTCCTTCGCTCGTCCGCAGCGCCAGCCCTCTGGCTCTGCATCTGCTGCTGCAGCAAGATTGGATGACCTGCGCCCCCAACTCCTCTGCGTGCGATGCAGGCCCAAGCTGATCGGTGTTGCATTTTCACAACCTGCTTCTCATCGCCACGCAAACCGTGTGGCCATTCTGCAAGATGACGAGGCCAGGTCCAACCCATCTTGATCGCTCCCTATTCTTCCCAATCCTCCAGACCAGCACCCGCTGTCCGGCGACCCAAGTACGGTTGCCAGCTTTCTCGGCCTTTCTCTTGCGGCAGGCGCTCGTCTGAACTCCTGGCTGGGGCTGTAGGATCGCACAGCACCGGTGTTCTGCCCTGCATCTAACTTCAACTCTGCAGGAAGTTGAGGATTCGACCCGTAGACAATCTGACACTGCCAGATCCTCTAGGTCCTCCAGATTGCTCACCACCCTGTTGCCCGAGTTCATTTCCATGCCCAGTCTATCCTTCAGCCACTGCCCATCCTTTCCACTCTACATTCTTGTCAGGAAAAACGTCACCATAATTTCTGGTGGTCCGCGCGGCCAAATCAGGCCCATGTCTCTCTGGCCCCTGGCTGCGGTTTCCTACTCAGTCGTCCTCCTCCTCCTCCATGATCAACCAAATTGAGAAAGAGGATGCTCTTGCCCTCCCCCTTCAGGTAGAAGATGTTGGCCCCAACGATCTGATTGAAGACGAACGTCCTCGAGTAGGGGGGCATCCTGGAATGCACACGCGGCCGGGGGCGAAGGAGGGCGTCATGCAGCTCACCTTCGATCAGTGCATGGCGGGTCAGGTGCATCCAGATGGACTATCTCGGAAGCGAATCCTTCATGCTGAGTCACATGAAGGTCGCGCAAGAAGTATGCCGGCTACGATGTGCACAGAAGTGGCCGGAGGGCTTGGTGAACGCCATCATACTTGGGATCCGCAAGCAGATGAGCTGGGTGGGGGTCGGAGAACAAGAAGAAGATCCCCGAGGCGAAGTGGAGGAGGAACCTCAAGAAGAAGATTTGGAGAAGCGCTCAAGGCTGCAAAGGCGCAAGAGAATGTTCTGAAGTACGTGAGAGATGAACAGGAGTGCGTGCAGCAGAGGCGAGAAGTGAAAATGAGGCGTCCGGCTGCTTATAATGAAGTCTCTTCCTTGATCTAGCTGATAGTCGGCTACCTGGACGCAGAAGCCGAACACGGCAAGTCCGCGTGATTGAATGCGTTCTGCTTCCCACGGACGTAGCCTGTCCCAGGTGACGTTCATGATCTGAGAGAACGCCTTGCGCTCTGGAGTCATACAGATCAAGTCAGGTTCCTCTTGTCGTACGGCGGTCCAGAAAGTCCGCGCGTGAGGTCGAATGCGGGGGGCTCCGTTGCCTTGATCCGTGTAGCCTCGTCCCGGAAGAAGTTCGGTCCTCTGTCGCCACCGTCCTTCACGTCAGCTCTCATGGATGCCGATTTAACATTGCCTGGGACGCCAACCTCGCGATCGTCGTTGATGTCCTCATCCTTCAACCTCTCTGAGCGTTGCATCCTCCACCTGCGCGCCCGGATTTGGCACGACATTCCTGAGGTCGCCGCCCTCCGGCGTCCTCCTCAATCGTCACATGGACATGGCTTTCACCTTCCACACCGCTTCCGGTCATCCCAACAAACGTGGTGGGGTTGTTCTCCTGCCCGAAGTAAATGAAGGCGGAAGACCTCTGACTGACCGCTGAACCGCCAGCTGCTCGATCGCCTTGCTGTTGAGCCACCCTATCAGCCTTTGACCGATACGGCTTCTTACAGTCCTACGTTCAATGACCTCGCTCTGCACAGTTGCCGCGCCGAGAGACTTTCTTGATGTCGGCGATGCGCCATCTCTATGAGCAAAATTGCCGTCGGTCCTTCTTCTGCGCC